GAAATGATCTACTACAGTCCGGAACCTTCTCGAAACCTGCAGGCGCGGTTTGCGCCGAGAATCGTGTGGTGTTTCGGAACGATAATAAAAACTTGTGAAATGGAACGTGGCAATATCATAGCTGAAATCAAGAAGAAATGGACCTGAGCTGGACATGTAGCGCGTAGACAGGATAACCACTGGTCGTTAAGGGTAACTAACTGGATTCCCAGAGAAGGAAAGCGGGTAAGGGGGAGACAGAAGGTTAGGTGGGCAGATGAGATTAAGAAGTTTGCGGGTATAAATTGGCAGCAGCAAGCACAGGACCGGGTTAACTGGCGGAACATGGTAGAGGCCTTTGTTTTGCAGTGGACGTAGTCAAGCTGATGATGATGATGATGATTGAATTTGCCGCACTATAATTGTAGTTCAGAGTGTTGTCGAAGCATTTCGTAAATACTGATATATTTAAGAGACAAAAATCAATGTAAATTTCACGAAGCAAACAACGGCAGACTGTCATAAATGGGCTGTGGTATAGACTATCATTTAAAATACTAGTATTTGTGGCAGAAATCATAACAAACCAGAAAATCTGAGTGCCACAATTTAGAAGTAACCATAGTCCCATTATAACAGTTCCCAAATAAACTGAAAATTATCGGTATGAGGTAAAAGCAATCCTGCTCATTTTCGCATTTCAGCACGCTAGCCTGCTTGTCTGGCTGAGAAAAAAAAACAGCCAAATGAGCTATACGCTCAATTGCCAATTCTTCTCGCACAAATTAGGTCAGAGCCGATAATGCTGCACACTATAGTAGCACACTGAGACGATAGTACAGAGATTCTTTTCCGTTTCATCAAAAAGTAAGAGTGAGTCGGTGAAAAAGTAAAACTTCGTCATTCTCGTTCTCTCGGTGTCATTTCTGAGCAGGTTCGGAGCAATTAGTAACGAAAAGCGTTGTTTGGAGCCGCATGGAGCAGCATTTCTCTTCTGGAGCAGCTTGGAGCAATTGGAGCAGCACTTCCATCGCTGAGTTGGAAGTGCATGCGGGGAGGCTTAGTCAAGAACGTAAGCCTTTAGTCCTTGCTTTCCTAAGAAAAAAAAGACATTGAATTGAAGATGAAAGAAAAATACTGAAACACCGACAGAACACATTATGCCGACGGCAGCGTCAGCTAATATCGTGGCCGTGTTACAAAACACGCAGGAAACGAAATCTCCCAGTTCCGCGTAAACATGTTTTGCCTCCGGACGCTGTGTATTCTTTTCGCCTGGTCAGCAAGGACACGCGCTCGAAGATAAGGTCTGCGTGGGAGGACGGCTCGGGTCGCGAACGTCGTCATCGGGATGCCGTGCGCAGTTTCTCAAAAGTTTGAGCTCCCCGTGTTTACACACTCAAATGACCAAAATAATAAAAAAGAGGCACGAACCTCAGCGACAATCACGCATCTCATGATACTTATCGCGATATGGAGAGGAGGCTCGTCACAGTCACTATCTCGTCTCTTTTTTTTTTTTTCTTTATTTAGCGTAATGCTTGACCGCCTTCCGGTGATGCTTAACAGGTGAACTACGGAAGGCCAAAGTTTAAGAGCTCATTCTAAGCGACATACGCAACGTTCATCTCACACGCTATACGATAGCGGGCGGATGTCGGGGGCGGCGCCAACCCGACTGAAATTTTCTCTTGTACCCTTTTCGACCTGCACTTCCCCTCCCCCCTCCATATCTCCGGCTGCACCGATTTTGCATGTAATCAGTGGAGCCAAATCTGCTAAACCGAACTATGTCGAAGTGTGGAAAGTATACAGACAGAGCCGATTCCAGTTCGAGCTCTCGACTTCCGTCCCACTGAAAAGCAAAAAAATCGGACGATGCAAATTCGACAACTTTAGAAGCGTCAGCTCGAGGGCGGACCGTGCGGCGCGTGATAATTCTTCGCTGGTCACACACCACTCACGGTTAGCTGTCAACAGGTTGTGACGGCCGAGAACGCCCTTCTCGGAGGAGTCTGCGTGCACGACTTCACCGCGGCCCAGTCGGATGACAGGCCACGAAGGAGCAGGGAGTCGTCACGGATCACCGGAGCCACTTCCGGTCGTCGCAATGTTTGTATTCCGAGTCGTCCTGTGCGATTTTCGTGTTCCCACACTATATACGGTCTTCCCCCCCACAGCTCAACACTGGGAGATACAGTATATACGCGAGTTCCAGGATGCCACGCCTGATCGCTACCGCTGCTCTGTCACTCAACTGCCTCCGGTTGCTGTCACCCAAAATACATTTTCTCCCACGGCCCGTGCACCCAGAAGAACCCCAACCCTGGGTCATTCACGCATTCGCCTTAGACGGCTCGACAGGCGAAAGCCACCCGGTGTAGCTATGTTACTGTGCACGTTTCATTACGCAATACTCCTTTGAAACTTTTTTAAAACTGACCTTAGTGACCATCGGCGTCCTGCGGCGTTCGCATTAAGACGAGCGATGCCGAAAATCAACACCAAGTGATGTTGTCACCACAACGTCACAGATCGCCAACGTCACAAATCGCCAACGTCACGGATTGCCACGTTACACAAGGTGACGTCTCCTGATGACTTCAGTAAACCAGGCACGTAGGCAGATACTTTTTCGGGAAGGGGGGGGGGGGGGACCTCTTTGATATGATCATTTTTCACTCTTTATGTCATGGCGAAAAAAAAATTTCGGGGGGGGGGGGGGGTGCCACTCCCCGCGGTTACGACACTGCATTAAACATCATCATCGTTTTGTCAACTACGGGCCGATCACGGAGGCAGTGCAAAATAGAAAAAGAACAGCGGTGTAGTTGCAGATCCAGATGGGGACTACATCCACTGAGAAGAGAAAAAAGAAGCTAACATTCCCCTTTGGGTCGTCTTTAGCGGATATGTAAGGGATCACTGTGGACTTTTTACATGTATTCGCCTCCAATTACACACACGAATATATATATATATATATATATATATATATATATATATATATATATATATATATATATATATATATATATATATATGGGAAATAAGTGTATACCGTGTATACCCAAGGCCTTGTTTATTCGTGTTTTCGACACAATATTAATGAGATCTAACAGACAATAATACCAAGGAACGTATAGGGGAAGTTATTAGAACCAATGTAATGTAAATAAGAAGGAAGAAAAGTGGGTGAAAAAATAACTTGCCGTGAGCAGGAATCGAACCTACGACCTTCGAATAACGCGTTCGATGCTCTAACCACTGAGCTACCATGGCTGCTATCCCCCAGCCACTTTATTGGGTTTATAATGTGAATTTAAACGTGGGAGTGTCAGTCAGCGCCATCTGTAGCCATTGTGGCGAGTGTGGAACGCCCTTTTTCACCCACTTTTCTTTCTTCTTATTTACATTCCATTGGTTCTAATAACTTCCCCTGTACAATCCTTGGCATTACTGTCTGTTAGATCTCATATGTATATAGTCCGAGGTACGTGGAATCTGCTTTTTTTTTTTTTTTTTTTTTTGAAAAATCATCAGCTCGTTTCGCCACCGACGTTGCTTTCCTCCGAGCTTTCATTGACCTACTCTTTTGTCGTTTATTGAAGACGATAATCTTTCTTGGGGACCTCTGACGCAAAAATTTTAGTCTGTCTGCCTGTCTGTACATTTATATGTTTGGCCACTCCTAACGACACTGGGTAATTGAAACGGCTAACCCCATCCACAGCACCCACCAATGTTGCTCAAGGTGTAGCGTTCATACTTGTGAAATTGTCAATTAATAAGCAATTATTGCGCATGTCCGTGGCACTATAGCAACACGTATATATTCTGCATAGGCATATCTTTTACTAAAAAAAAGGAATACATAAGTAACTTTAAGGACCGTAGCGCTTATCACGCTGCGCTGGCCATGCAACGCTTGGACGAAAAGGCGAGTGTTTCCACTGCTTTGCTAAGATGAGACGGTGGTGGCACCTTCCCGTCGCCTTGCGTTCTACACCGTATCACATCTGAGACGGGAGCGCACACCCGTCTCAGAGCCACGCGCTTTGTTTTCTAAGAAAACTGCCAGATGGCGCTTACGTCTCACGCGCTCGTTCGCCTCCACTGCACGCTCGAAGCACTCTAACGCAGCGCCTCAAGAATACCGTTCACCGATTTTCTTGCGCAGAACATCAAATAAATTGTTCACTCTCTCCACGCGCAAGACTATCGTCTTTCAACATTTGCAGATTACATGCAGATACGGGGCCAATTTCTGCCTCCCAGCAAGTGGCCCTCAACAATACTGCGCCTCCGCGAAGCCTCATCCATCAGCTAGTAACGATCGAGGACTCAAACCCATAACGCAGTCGATAACGACTCATGTAGTTCAGTTGGCAGGGCCTCAGATAAAACAACGGATGAGGTTGTTTGTTTGAATGATGAACGTGACATGGTGGCGCAAAAACCGGGAGTGGAATCTAGCGAACGAAGCCGAAGATATCTTGTGTCATGGGAAGATTTCACAACAAACCAGCGCCGCTTGTTTGAGTTAAAATCTATGAAAAAAAAAATGTAGACAGCGAACAATAGTTTTGCAATTTTGGTTTAAGAACGAAGATTGTGACTGACCTGAATTAAGAGCAAGGACTTCATTAATATGACCTAACTACATATCCTAATTATTATTAGCTATTTAGAATATGTAATTAGCATAATCTTAATTAGGCATGCACACTATCTCTGTTTTTTTTCCTGGTTCTTTCCTTCTCCTTCCGTTTATCTGTTCTGCGCTTTTCTTTAGAAGACATGCGCTTTAAGTTGTGCCTACATTCATCGTGTCAACCCCAATTAGTGCGCGTTAAATAACACCAAGATGGTCGAATCACCGGAGCCCCTGACTGCGGCTTCCCTCAATAGTATAGTAGTTGTGGAGACGCAATACCCCACATATTATTACTATTATTATTATTGTTATTATTATCTAGTGTTGTTCGGTTCAGTCGACTGTTAACAGCTCCGATACTCACTTGTCGTCGTGGCCGGTGTCGTCGTGATGCTGCGTTCTGCATCACTGCCGCCTTCAGCGCCCTCTGGACTTGTTTCGTCAGTGATTATGGCTCGCTCCTCAGAGTCCATATTCCTCAGGTAGTCTGCGGAGAGAGACCAAGAGAAGATTTAAAAAGATGAACGCCCTGCTTCGCTCCCTCGAAATAACCGTCAAGTGTCAAGGACACACGTAAACAATGAGTGAACCGGTGCTTGTATCTGTGACTGACGTAGCCAGACGGCAGGGGTTCGAAACCCCGTTTTTTTTCTTTAGGATAACGGTAACTTGTGCTCCGTTGTACTAAACTGCTCCGGTGATATGTACCATAGCAGATGGGCAGGCCCCACCACCGAGTACAGCAGGTGCAAGCGTTAGACGATAACTCTGCTCCGCCAAGTGGAGCACGTGAAACACGTGAAAGACAAAGAAAGAAAAAAAATTAAACAAAATAAAGAGGCAGAGGGAGACAAAAAGAGTGTAAAAGTGAGAGAAAAAAATCACAGCATATCCACAGAGTGAATTATGATTGGTGGGGTGAAGCATTTGTCAGTCCGTCGGTGCGTCCATCCGTGTGGCCGTCCAGGCATCCGTTCGTTCGACTGTTGTCCATCGAATCGTCCGTCCTTGCGTCTGTTTAGGCCGTCTCTCTGTCTGCCGTCCGTACGTCCATCTGTATGACCGTCCGTCTATCTAGTGATCACTCCAAGTACCGCTATCTCACATCTTTTCATCATGTATTTATTATATACAAGTACCGCCATCCAGCGGACATTCTAAGGACCGCTCCCTTGGGTATGTGCTCCCGGTGGTTACTACGATAACGGGACAATCGGGTGACGCCATAAGGAGTGCCGCCCCTAAAAAAGGCAATAGAAGGAAAAAAGGAAGAAAAAAATGCGGGACGTTTGGATCAAGTTATGCAAAGTCTGGCACAGCGAAACACGAGCTCATCGCCACTCGCTGGCCAAACTATTTCTCTAGATTCGGCTATGAAGCTGGACGGCCTTCTTTTTTCGCTTTAGCGTTTTATTTCTCTCTCCCTCTCTTTATTTTTCTCTGTTCACCGTTTTTTTCTGTCTTTTTCACTTTCTATTCTATTTTTTTCTATTCCCATCTCCTCTTATATTTTTCTTTCTTTCTTTGCAATATTTCCCTCGAATTCTTATTCACTCCCCCTTTATTTATATATTAAATAAATAAAAAATAAACAAACAAGATGCAGTAGCCGTACCGTCAATTACACCTGAACTATACCCCCCCCCCCCCTCACACACCGATCACAGCGCCGCTGTGCGTAAATGTCATCGTCAGTCTGATCGGCAAAACGACGCAAACCACGCTATATATTTAACAACACACGAGCCGAAGCTGGACGATAGCGAAGTACGAGGAACCGCGGCGTAGCTAGACGGAGGCGCAACTACACGCGTACAAAAAAGCACTCGCTACACACGCCGGCGCATATACGACCTTGTCGCCGATAAATATTTACCGCCGAGCGATGTATCAGGAAAAAAAATGGCAATATCGACGGAAGGGCGAGAAAATTGACAGCCAACTTTTAGAGTTACGCATGAAGCTATTAGGACAGACCTGTGGCTGTAAGCGGATGCGTCAACTATTGCTGACTACCATATACCAGTAAAGTGAAAAACCACAGTTTTCACGTGGGTAAATTACTCACGAACAATTCCTCAATCACCACACTTTCCTCGAGAAGCCGCTTGGAAAGCGAGAAAAAAAAAAACGATAAAGTTACCTGGATGGCGACGCCACTTTGGAATACCTGACATTGGGGCACTGTAAATTTTGACGGCAGCTTCGAGATACTACGCAGTTCATCGGTAAAATCGAAGTTCAATGTCCTCTGAAGGGGCCATGACATCCAATAATATGTGCCACGTGGCTTAATCCCTGTTCGTTTACAAATAACCTGGTGAGATTTCAGCGCACTTGGTTCAGCACTTTATTTATAATTGAACCGGTTTATTTATCAACACGCGAGCAGCCTGAGAGTCGGGCAACACTGGCGCACTCACCACCCGTGACGTAATAAGCATTAGCTGTTACATCTGCTCGAGAAAATCATCCTGCATGGTTTGCCGGCCCTCCGCCTTACGCGTGACGTGTACAAGTGACGCCACGTGCGGTGATTTCGGGGCAAAATTTAAAATGTATTTCTCCCCCGTTCACAAGCCTATGTCGGGGAAGCCTTATGGAAGAGGCCCGCGTATATTGTGCAATGTCAGTGCAGGTTAAAAAAAAACAACGAATGGTCGAAATTTCCGGAGCCCTACACTACGACGTCTCTCATAATCATATCGCGCTTTTGGAATATGGAACCCCAGATATTATTACTCTGGTGAAATAAACGACATTTAATTTCTCGGAGTACAATTTATCGATCTAACCGAACTAAACTTGTCGATCTAGTGCATTTTTGAAAGCTTTAGGAAGTCCTGCAGGACGTGAAATAACATGGGGCCGGGTGAGTAATAAACAGCGCTTTTTCAGACTATTATGTGTTGCTGTCATTCTGCACCGTTCGCACGTTTCTGTTTGTATTGCTTGTTGATTGTTTCTGATAGCGATTGTCCACACGTCAAAGCTTACGTGGGACTGTGGACCACTGTCAAGCCGCCTATAGGCATGTTTTTTTTCCCCCAGTTATCTCCATTCCGCGAATATCATACGTGGCGGGAATATTTGATATATATCCGGACGACAAACTCTGAAAGCGAAGTCACGCACATTTCGGAACAAAGGCATTGATTGATATGTGAGGTTTAACGTCCCAAAACCACTATATGATTATGAGAGACGCCGTAGTGGAGGGTTCCGGAAATTTCGACCACCTGGGGTTCTTTAACGTGCACCCAAATCTGAGCACACGGGCCTACAACATTTCCGCCTCCATCGGAAATGTAGCCGCCGCAGCCGGGATTCGAACCCGCGCCCTGCGGGTCAGCAGCCGAGTACCTTAGCCACTAGACCACCGCGGCGGGGCTCGGAACCAAAGGCAGAACGGGGAAACTACATCGCCTATGCGCCGATGATGCGGTGCTGCCATTGACGCATAGGCGATGCGCATTTAAATACGTATAGTACGACACCCGGAGTGTACTTATCGTCCCCTCGTTCAGCTGTTTTGTAGTCGAGGACGACATAAGACTTCAGGAAGCATGGAATTATGATGTGTAGGGTACACGCTCCGCATACAACAGAAGTATGATTTTTTTAAATACAATTCTAAAACGGGAAACACGCACGCGCATCAAAATTGTCCAATCGGCTTAAAAAAAGCGCTGAAAAAAAAAAACGACGGATCCGCGTACAGGCGCAGCTTTGCCCACTTTCAGTTGTCCTCTGTGTGACCCTAATGAAATGCTGGTCTTTCAACAACCTAGAACAGGGGGTTGGAAACCTGCGGTACGCCGGATATTTCAGTGCGGCAACTAGTCCCCATGCTCGCTGAAGCACCGTGCGTTGCAGCTCCCGTAGGCACTAGCGCCAGAGTTCCCTCTAGTGTATTTAAAGGAAACTCAATGCCTATCTCGACTGTAGAGCTGTTTCGGTATAACACGATTCCGCGAAATGTTCGATAAAGCTAAATTCCCGCGTTGTCTGGGAACGCGATTTTTATATAAATGTTCCATACTGCACTTGGCATTCCGACCTATACAGTAACCAGCCTGATTACAAGCGTTAATCACTGATATAGCAGAAATAATCATTTGTTGTGGATGCAATGTCCTGCAAACTTTTGCTGTTGACAGTACATTATTTTTCAATTGACCTTTTCTTTCTCTCTCTCTCTCTGCGTGCGAAGCCCTAATATGCAGGTCCCGCCTGCGGTTTACTACCTTGGGACCTCCTCCTGCATACTTACTCACAATGTACACTTCTGATGCTAATAAAAAAAACTTTGATTGATTGATTGATTGATTGATCGGCCGTCAATCGACCCTTTCGCGACGTACGGCACGGGGGTCGACGATCAGTCCAACTTCGGCACGAGCAAAACGCCTCCACGCACAGAGGTCGTGAAAGGACGAGGCGCGAACGGAAAGCACGGCAGCCCAGGAAGTTCTCGAAAGCGATTAGGCGGTGGCCGTTTGGTCGGACGCACTCGTTATAATCTTACAAAAACACAGGGCCCCTCGAGGCGGCGATGAACAAGCGTCATCACACACAGCCTCAGAGAGCGTTGGGTCGAGATCTGACACCGAGATATCGCGCGGACGGTGACGCGCGAAAAAAAAAAAAAAAAAAAAAAAAACAAGAAAATTGGCCACGCACTTATCTCCCTCCCTTCTGCTTTGGGTTACCTCTGAAGTCGGTACCAACCACCGAGTGATCTTGCGAGAGAGAGGTGCCTCCGCGGCACAACACGTAAATACACCCCCCCAAGGGGAGGCAAGCGTAACACGAGGAGCGCTCTCTGGAAGCAATTTATTACGTCACCGCCATACCAGTGGCCAAGAGGACATCAATAAGAGAGGGCCGCGGCTTCTCGGACTTTGGTGTTAGTGGGGAGACGCGCGAGGCGTCATCGGAGATGGGTCAGGGCGGTTACGAAGTCGAGCGTTGCCCGTGGTCAGTGTGACCCCTCTCCTCCCCGCTATGTACGGCGCGGCTGTCGTGATCGCAAGCTGTCGTCGTCGCTCGGTGTGGCGCTGCGCACGCTAGGCTAAGTCTTGTTGCGCTTGTTCTTCGAGCGTCTTGATGACGACAAGGGAGAGCACGTTCGCGCCGAGGAGAAGTTCCTTCCGCATGCAGAGACTAGCGCTTGGCGTAACGCAGGCAGAACCACGTATAAAATAGAAAAACAAAACAAAACGATCAGGCAAATGAGAGAGAAAAATAAGAAGAAAAAAGACGCAGCCACAAAGAGTAAAAAAAGAAATAAAATACACTAATAAAGAGAAGAGTGAGAGCAGAAGAAAAATACAGACGAGAAACAAAGAATTAAGCCGCCCCATTCAGCTCCGCATTTCCTTAAGGTACTCCTATTTGATCTTTTTTTTTTTACTCTTCCTAGTGTGCAGTCGTCCGCATAAAGTTTCCTATAATATACCGAAGAACAACAGGAAGACTTGTCCT